ACTTGCGCATTAAACGGTACATTTAGTGCAGGCATTGACACTAAGGAGCCTATCCAGGAAATAACTCCGGTAGTCATAAACTAGTTATTTTGGTACACCACCATAACGATATATGAAACTATATACCACATCTTCACTGGTAAAGGCACTCTGCGAAGCTCTCTAAGAGTTGGCTGTTCAGAATCCTCATGTCATCAAGGTTACCAGTTAGGCACCCTTCCCTGGCAACTGCATGCCAAAGCCCACCCTCCTGGCATGGCATCGCTCGCTCCCCTTCCTGCTCAAGCCTCTTCCTCCCTCCACCCTCTCCGCCCTCTCCGCCCATCCACCCTCCACGGTGACTCCCAGCCCCCTCCCACATGCACGCCTCCCCTTGCTGCTCATCGCACTCCCCTCCGCCACTCACCCTTGTCCTCTTTCCCCCATGACCCACAACACACTCTCCCTCCGCTGCTGCAAACCCCATTTCCCCCCATTCTCCACCCACACCGCCCCCTCCTCCCCCTCTCACATCTGCCAGCAGAGCAGTGCCCTGGGGTGCAGCCCCCCCCTGCCCGCCCACCATGAGCCCCACCTGCTCCAGCACCCACCTGTCCAGATCCACCTCAGGCTGCTCGTCAAACGGCCTTGCCTCCACACATATGCCCATGGCATCACCAGCAGGAGCAGCAGTAGCGAGATGAGCAGGATGAGTAGCAGCAGCAGGCGGAGCAGCAGGAGCAGCAGCAGCAGGCGGAACAGCGCTGGTGCAGGGGAGTGCAGCAGGGGGCTGCGGAGCGTGCAGGTGGGAGTCCAGAGGGGAGAGAGGGAGAGGGAGAGGGAGAGGGAGAGGGAGAGGGAGAGGGTGGAGGGGAGGGAGAGCAGGTAGGGCATGGAGCAGGCAGGGCAGCGACGAGGATGCAGAGAGAGGGCTGGAGGGGTGATGCTGGGAAGGGCGTGGGGCAGCTCCAGCGGCAGCAGCAAGAGCGACAGAGGAGATGGTCGAAGGAGGTGAGGTGGGCAGCATGAGTGGGACAGCAGCGATCGCAGTGGGGGCAGGGCGCGGACGCACTGCAGCACAGCATGCTGTGGCTTTAAAGGCACCTGCCTTCAAAGCCTGCTCCACGCACGGCCACTCTCCAGTTGTATGCATTTGCTGCTGCTGCTGCTGCTGCTGCTGCTGCTGCTGCTGCTGCTGCTGCTGCTGCTGCTGCTGCTGCTGCTTCACTGTGTCCGTTTGTCGTTGCAGCAACACTGCATTGCCTTGCACGAGTGCACTCTTACCGCACACAGACTCACTCACGCCTTGGCACACCACTGCGCCATCCCACCCACGTGCGCCCGTGGGAGCGCTTCCCAGCCAAGGGTCCATCACCCCCTCCCACCACATGCCCGTCTCAGGGCCGCCCCTCCACTCGTCCTCCCACCCGACGTGCCGTGCATTTGACTGCTGCCTTGCTTGTGCCGCCTGCGAGTAGGCCTGTGGCGCGGTGTCAATCAGGTGCAGTGCGGCGCCAGCCGGTTGGAAGCAGTGGGGGAGGGCGGCGGGGTGAGAATGGTGCTGCGGGCGGGGCCAGGGGGAGACGTGGTGGTGCTGCAGCAGGTGGCCGTGGAGCACGTGGGGCCGTCGCCCGTGTTGCTGCTGCCAGCCATGCTGCTGGGGCTGCCCCTGCCCCTGCCCCGTCTGCTCATCGAGTTGGAGGAACTTCCTGTGAGGCACACGCACGGGCGACGCGGAGAGCGTGGAGAGCACGGAGGGAGATGAGAGGTGAGCAATCGGCTGTGGCATAACTCTTGAGCAGCAGGAAGCGGCTGTAGCATACCTATTCAGGAGCAGGAAGCGGCTGTAGCATGCTGTTTGGCAGCAGGAAGCAGCAGCGGCATACCTCTTGAGCAGCAGGAAGCGGTTGCAGCACGCCTTGTTGTCGCGCAGCGGCAGCCGGCCGCTCGCCCTGAGCTGCCCCCACTCCGCCGTGCCGTGCGCCATCACGTGCTCCAATAGCACCGCGTCCTCCTGCGCGCACAGCGTGGGGGAGAGAGGAGCGATATGAAGGAGGAGAATGGAAGCATCACGTGCTGCAACGGAAGAATTGAGAAGAAAAAACACATCCTTCTCGCGGGGAAGGGAGAGGGGGAGAGAAAGGACAACGGTGCGGGGGGCGCGGAGGGTCGCGGAAGGTCGCGGGAGAGCTCACCTCGGGGGTCCATCGCGCCAAGTATTGCCGCGAGCGCGCCGCATTCGCCGCTCTCCTGCCGGCGCCCGGCCGGGCGGGGCGTGACTCGGATCCCGCCGGTGATTCCGCGGGTGCCCGCTGGCGAAGCTGCTGTGCGCGCGCGCGGTGGCGGACGTCTGCCGCTACAGCGGTAATGGGGCCGGGGCTTTCCGCGACTGCCTCCATCGCGGCGACACCCGCGGCGTGCGATGTCGGATGTATGTCGCGAACAACGTGCGACGCTCGCATCTTGAAGACGGACCTTTTTCCCTTTTCCGCGAACGAGATCCGCGCCGCAGGGATGCGCGCAGCAGCGAAACAACGGGCGGGGACTGAGGCGGCGCGGAGGGGTGGAAGCGGGAGACTCGGCGGAACTACCGCAATGCTACCAAGGGCGGAACTAGCATAGCTTCCTCGGGTTGGTATGAGGGCTGCTCCCAACGCGGGCAGTGGGTTTGCGCACAAGGAGAGGCTGCAATCACCAAGGAATCACGATCCCAGCGCTTCTACTAATACGCGAGGTGTGAGACGAAAGCTGCCACGAGCAAGCTGTGAATACTGTGGAGTGCGAAGCCATAACGCTCTATAACGTCCGTCTCTCCTCGCGCTGCTATGCGCTGCGCTGCGGCCGTGCCTTGGCTGTGACGAGCAACGCGGAGCTTCGGGACACGCCGAGGCTGAGCCGCATGCGGTGGGTAAGACGACTGCAGTCGGACGGCGCGCAGGCTGGGACCCAAGGGACGGCGCGGGCCTCGTATGACAGGCTGGATGGTCCAGCGCGATCGCCCTCCGCATGCTGGCCGGTACGGCAGGAGCGGTCCGTGCCAGACGATGGCGGGCGGGGGGGGTGGGGCCTGGTCTGGCCGTGGGTGGCACTGGGCCACGGGACGGGCGATGAGACGACTCTGTCGTTTTGCGCGGCGATGACGCGCGAAGATGTGCACGAGTGGACGCCATTTGTCCACTACTGTGCACTGTGAAATGCTGCTGCTACTCTCCCGCTCACATAAACACGACCAAACGCATCCAGCTGTCCGCTTCACTATCTTTCGCACCAAATGTAGAAGTTAAGTGTGGGTGGGCCATACAGTTGTTCTCGTTTAAAGTCCGACGGAGAAACACGCCGCGCGCGGACTATATGTCGAAATGCCCGAAACCCCGGGCAAACGGGACCCTATAGTCCCAAATTCGAGAAAATTGCATGAAAAGCGGTTTTTTGTCTCTACTGGTTGTTGTTTTTTGTCATATACGTACGTATGGACCGCGCTTGCTTCAACTTCTCGTCGAACGGTTTTACGCGTTATCAGTGATGCGTGAAAAACGGGCAGAAATAAACAACATCGATTATGTTTGATGCCATAATAAGTTTGTCTTTTTGTTTTTCCTTCCTGTCAGCGAGATTACTGAGATGTCATCGTGGAGCGCGCTAGGAATCGCGCGACGGGAATAAGAAACAAGCGCGGTCAAGAGAAACAAAAAATATCAGTTGTAAATGTTTACTTCAAAACAAAACTGCCCTTTTTAGCATTCTCCGTAAATGTTCAAGGCACTTATACGTGCAATGAACCTGGTCAAAAAAGGGACTGTAGAGGAGGGGCCACACCTAGGAATTAAAGGAAAAAGCTCCTCATTCTGAAAATGGGACTTTGTGAGCGCAGGACTTAATAGCGGAACCATTTGTAGTCCACACCATTCCCCCAGCACTTCCCAACAAGAAACAAGCACAGGTGTGGATCAGGGGCGAGATTTATCTCCCTCGCTTCTTTCCCTTTCGTCCCGTTCTGTTCGGTCGGTCCCGTAACTCCACTCTCGAAAGCCGTCAACTCGTGTTCTGCTCTGCTCTTCGCTGCTGTAGTCTGCTCTGCTCCGTGGCGTTGCTTATCTGTTCCCGTCTCGTGACCGTGACGGCTGGAGGAGTCTCATTTGCTCCCATCACCATCACCTCAGGTCCCACTTACTAGTGGGTTATGTGCGGTACTGAGAGCCTCAGTGATTTTCAGCGTGTGACTGAAAGGGTGGAACTTCTGCTTTGGAGCAGAGCAATTGGTCACTTGCACCACAAAGCAAGATATCCCGCTCGCGATTCGCGGGGGATGAGACTGTACCATGTGGGGCGCATTATTCCAACCACGAACGAACCCATGTGTCCCCGTGCAAATGGGAGATTTCGACGCTGCCGTGCTGTCCAGGGAAAGCTGCCACGGTAGACTGACGTGGGTCTCCAACAACCATGGGTGCTCTGGTGGTTAGAATTCACCAATCAACTTGACCGACCACACCTGATGGGCATTCTCCTGAACTTTGGGAATCGAGACCAGCACGTTCTCGGAGATTATCAAGACTGAACGACAGCCACAGACATTTCCGCTCTCATGTGAAATCTCCACAACCCAACCCAAGCATATCTAGTCCTCGTTATTGCTGTGACGTGTTCTGCAAGAGCTCAGCATTTTCTGAAGTGCTCGCGCGCTTGCATGAGCAAGAGCAAACAATCAAAACCATACCACTTGGTCTACTCTAGTTGGATGGAGACCATTCTATTGTTGCTCATGTACTCTAAATGTTCATTATTCCCATTGCACCAGTACACATTCAACTCCGCCTATTTCGATAGGAAAATACTGGGTTGACGAAATGGAAACATTGATACATCTGTCCTATATAATTCTTCTGTGGAGCATTAGCTGGGCTGATGCATAAAAACATTGGCCCTAGTCATCTTGACACCAGTGGTAGGTGCAGCCATGACTCTTCGTCATGCAGGTCTTTTTCCAAAACCATGCAACTGCTGGTTGGCAGCCCAGTGATTCACTGTGGTGGTCTTGCACCCTTCTCTTTGAGCTCAATCCATCGTGAGAAGTACTCCGTTGCCCTGTTGCTGTCATGCCACAACATGGCCTGCAATTTTAGTTCAGACCAAGGGACATAAGCGCCAGAGTAACACACTGAGGTCAATCCGGACCATTTTGATCTAGAACGTATACACCTGGTCTAGAAAAATGCGCTTGTTTGTACATTGGCTTAGTACACACGCACCTGGTTCCTGAATGTAGGAAACGTTCACATTGACACTCACCCCAGTGTAGTCATGCATTCTATTATCACGCATGTTTGCCTTGGCAGCAGAGAGTGCAGCGAGGAGAGAAGGTGCATTGGTGCGCATGCCAAAATGCTGCTGGAGGATGGTGCCGCCCTGTGGGCAAGCACATGTGTGTGGGCAGGCAAGCAGGGGAGAGTGGGAGAAAGTGCAGGTGAAAGCTTGAGAAACAGCGAGCAATGGTGTTGTGAGCACTTGAAGAAGAGGCAACCTTGGGAGGTGTGATCAACAGCCTTGGAAGGTTACGTCACAGCGGAAACAGAAATGACACGGGCACTCAGGCGGAGTTGTGAGGCGAGGTGGAAGTGGTGAGTGCAGCAAGAGGGGAACAGAAGTTTGGCAGCGCAAGTGAGGCAGCGCAAGGGAGGCAGCGCACCGCAGATTGACACGTGGCCCACAGCAGAGGGTCGCCGTACAGCCGCACCGCATCCGCTGCAAACGCCTCTGCATCCCCCGCCCCACACAGCCCCCCCCACTGCTGCCCCCCCGCCCCCTCTCCCACCCCCTCTCCCACACCCTTGTCCTCCTCCCCTGGCTGTTCCTTGCCGCACCCTCCCCCTCTGCTGCCCATGCCCTCGGCGCCCATGGGGGTGATGACGACGGGCGTGCCGTGGCGCCAGCTGTCGAGGATCTTGCCCTTTATGCCCGCCCCGTAGCGCAGCGGTGCTAGCAGCACTGTGAGGGGCGGGGAAGTGGAGATGAGAGAGGGGGCAGGTCGAAGAAGAAGAGGAGAGGGGAGGGGAGGGGAGGGGAGGGGAGGGGAGGGGAGGGGAGGGGAGGGGAGGGGAGGGGAGGGGAGGGGAGGGGAGGGGAGGGGAGGGGAGGGGAGGGGAGGGGAGGGGAGGGGAGGGGAGGGGAGGGGAGGGGAGGGGAGGGGAGGGGAGGGGAGGGGAGGGGAGGGGAGGGGAGGGGAGGGGAGGGGAGGGGAGGACAAGGAGAATACGGACTGAGCATGGCCATGCAGGTGGCTGAAGAGCTGAGCTGAGAATGGTGAAATATGGATGGGTGCAAAGCGATAACAGAGGGATGGGGAGGGAGGGAAAGAGGTGAGGTGTTGCTGACCTCGGTAGGAGGCGAGCATTTCAAGGGAGGGGGCGTGGCCGCGAATGATGAAGCCAGATGAGGGGTCGTGCAGGGACGAGATGGCTGCTGTGACGTAGGAGCCGTACACGTGTCACTCTGCCATTGGTAGCTGGGCATATCATGAAGGGGATAGAGGAGGGGGGTGGTGGGGTTTGGGGAGAGAGAGGTACATGGCATGCGATGGCAGGGTGAGGAAAAAAAGGGGGGGGGGGGGGGGGGGCGACGACACGACCAAGGGTGGTCAAGTGGGGAGCGGGAGAGAGGAGAGCGCGCAGAGGAGGAAACAGGGAGCTGTGAAAGCACTGACGAGTCACAGTGACAGATTAAGCGAGTGTGACATTGGCAGACCTGGGCGCGGATGGGCGGACCTGGGCGCGGATGGGCTGACCTGGGCGCGAATGGGCTGACCTGGGCGCGAATGGGCTGACCTGGGCGCGGATGGGCGGACCTGGGCGCGAATGGGCGGACCTGGGCGCGAATGGGCGGACCTGGGCGCGAATGGGCGGACCTGGGCGCGTATGGGCGGACATGGGCGCGGATGGGCGGACATGGGCGCGGATGGGCGGACCTGGGCGCGAATGGGCGGACCTGGGCGCGGATGGGCGGACCTGGGCGCGGATGGGCGGACCTGGGCGCGGATGGGCGGACATGGGAACGGATGGGCGGACCTGGGCGCGGATGGGCGGACCTGGGCGCGAATGGGCGGACCTGGGCGCGGATGGGCGGACATGGGAACGGATGGGCGGACCTGGGCGCGGATGGGCGGACCTGGGCGCGGATGGGCGGACCTGGGAGCGAATGGGCTGACCTGGGAGCGAATGGGCTGACCTGGGCGCGAATGGGCTGACCTGGGCGCGAATGAGAGGCCAGATGTGGGAGGCGAGCCAGGAGACGGCGTCCACGTTGGGCGCGTGGCGGAACGTGCCCAGCATCACACAGTGCTGGCGGCGCTCAAAGGGGGGCAGCGCGGGGCCGGCAAAAGGGGAGGTGGAACCTGCAATCCGGGGGGTTGGGATGGGGCGGGGTTGGGCAGGGTGGGGCGGGATGGGGCGGGGTGGGGCGGGGTGGGGAGGGGGAGGAACAGGGTGGCACACAGAGAGGAAAAGCTGGGAGGATGGTTGCATGTGGTGGCGACGGGTGGGGGGGGGGGGGGGGGAAAGAAGGGGGAGGGGCGGGAAGGGCGGGAGGCGGAATGAGAGGCGACTGGCTGGAACAAATAGGGGTTGCTTGTGAGCATTTTCAGGAGCAAGAGCAGAAGAGCGCCGTGCGTGCGCCCTGTGAAGCCTGGCACCTTGCAGCCATTGCAGGCACGGGCATTGCAGGCATGGGCATTGCAGGCACGGGCATTGCAGGCATGGGCATTGCAGGCGCATCTGATAAGTGTCACCCGCCTTGTTGATTCCTCGACAGGCACTGCCTCACCCCTCACTGTGTCAACCCTCCTCACTGCCCCACCTCCCACTGCCCCACCTCCCACTGCCCCACCTCCCACTGCCCCACCTCCCACTGCCCCACCTCCCACTGCCCCACCTCCCACTGCCCCACCTCCCACTGCCCCACCTGGAAGTGCGTCGGGTGCATCATAGAAGAAGGAGGCGAGGGCGAGCTTGTGGGGGGGGAAGGCGTAGCAGCGGGTGAGGAGAGAGAGCTCCGCCTCTGAGCACAGCTGATGGGGGCGAGAGAGAGAAGAACGGAGGGAGGGAGGGAGGGAGGGAGGGAGGGAGGGAGGGAGAGAGGGAGGGAGGGAGGGGGGGGGAAGGAGGGAGGGAGGGAGGGAGGGAGGGAGAAAGGGAGGGAAGGAGGGAGAGAGGGAGGGAGGGAGGGAGGGAGGGAAGGAGGGAGAGAACAGGGGAGGGATGGAGAGAAGAGGGTCAAAGGGCGTGAGGGAGGGAAGGAGGGAGGGCGGACGGGCGGCAGAGGGGTGGGGGCAGAGGGGTGGGGAAGAGGTGTGGGGAAGAAGGGTGGGGGGGGGAGAGTGGGGGGGCAGATGGAGGGGAAGAGGGGCCACGGACGGACCAGCGTGAGGTCGCAGCGGTGCATGGAGGCGAGCTCGCGCAGCAGCTCCCTGCTGCTTGTATCGGGTACGTGGTGTGTAGCGCGTCCCTGATGGTGCCCCCCTCAGATACCACCTGCTGCCGCCCCGCCTGCCTGCCCGGGGAGGAAAGAGGATGGGGTGGGATGGGATGGGATGGGACGGGATGGGAGGGGATGGGGTGGGGTGGGGTGGGTTGGGATGGGATGGGATGCAACGGGATGGGAGGCAAGGGGAGGACAAGGGACGGGATGGGATGGGAGAGGAAGGATGGGATGGGACAGGAAGGGATGGGATGGGGCAGGAGGAGAGGAAATAAATAGGATGGGATGGGACCCAATATCATCCCATGTCACCCACGTCACCCCATGTCACCCCATGTCACCCCATGTCACCCCATATCACCCCATGTCACCCCATGTCACCCCATGCAACCCCACGGAACCCCACGTTACCCACCCGGAGGAAGTGCAGGTCCTGTGTGTCGAGCACGAGCAGGCAGGCGGGGCAGCGCTGCCTCACGCGGAAGGAGAAGGCCTCCTCACTCGTGAACCTGGCGGGCGGGGGCAAGGGGGGGGGAGGGGATGGGGATGGGGAGGGGGAGGGGGAAGGGGACGGGAATGGGGAGGGGGAGGGGGACAGGGGGGGGAAGGGGGAGGGGGAGGGGGATGGGGATGGGGATGGGGATGGGGATGGGGAGGAGGAGGGGGAGGGGGAGGGTGAGTGGGGTAGTAGCAAGAAAGGCGATAATAAGGGGGGTGAAGGATGGGAGAGAGAGTGGAACAAGGTGGGAAGGGAGCAGAGGCGGAGCAAAGGCGGAGCAAAGGCGGAGCAGGAAAGAGGCGATTACAGCGGGGCAAGGGTGTGAAACGGAGGGGGTGTGGAAAACAATAGCACGAGTAAGGGAGGGCGCGAGAGGGTCAAGCCATAGGTGCCCCAGGCGTCTAGGTGCCCCAGGTGCCCCAGGTGCCCCAGGTGCCCCAGGTGCCCCAGGTGCCTCAGGTGCCTCAGGTGCCCCACGTGCCCCACGTGCCCCACGTGCCCCACGTGCCCCACGTACCCCAGGATTTCCCCTCCACCAGCATCCCCCTGCCCTGCTGGTCTGTTAAACACGACTGCTGACGTGGCGACAACTGCTGACCTGTCAAAGACTGCTGACATGTGAAATAGTGCTGACCTGTCAAAGATGGCAATGGTGGGTCGCACGGCGTCCAGCACCTCGTGGAACTCCGTTGCCCTGCCGATAAGGGGGGGGGGAATGGTAAGGGGAAGGCGGAAGAGGGCGCACGATGTGCGCGAGTGGGAGAAGGGCAGGGGGAGGTACGGGAAGGCGTAGAGGGGGAAGGGCGTAGGCAAGCGCGAACGCACGAAGGGCAAGGGGAGTAGTAGGGGGATTTATGGGCGACGGGAGGGATTAATGAGGCGGCGAGGAAAGGAGAGGTGAGAGACATGGAGGAGAGAGGCGAGCGACATGAGAGGCGAGCGACGGTGGATGTGGTAGGATGCCGACTATTCCACCTGTTAGGCGCACACTGGTATGTGGCAATGCCTGCTGCGTCCAGCTCCTGCGAATACACGTTCCTCCGCGCAGGGCTGGTGCACGCCGTGGGCGCCGCGCGGGTGGCGAGGGCAGAGTGGGCAGGGAGGGGGAGAAGGGAGAGAGGAGAGAGAGGAGGAGAAGGGAGAAGGGAGAGAGGGGAGAGAGGAGAGAGAGGGGAGAAGGGAGAGAGGGGAGAGAGGAGAGAGAGGGGAGAAGGGAGAGAGGGGAGAGAGGAGAGAGAGGGGAGAAGGGAGAGAGGGGAGAGAGGAGGAGAGAGGGGAGAAGGGAGAGAGGGGGAGAGAGGAGAGAGAGGGGAGAAGGGAGAGAGGGGAGAGAGGAGAGAGAGGGGAGAAGGGAGAGAGAGGGGGAGAGAGGAGAGAGGGGGAGAAGGGAGAGAGGGGAGAGAGGAGAGATAGCAGAGAGGGGAGAAAGGGGAGAGAGGGAGAGAGAAGAGAGATGAGAGAGGTGGGGAGGGGAGAGTGAGCAGAGAGGGGAGAAAGGGGGGAGAAAGCAGAGAGCGGAGAGAGGGGGGAGAGAGCAGTGGGGAAAGAGGTGGGTGGGGGAGAGAGGGCAGAGAGAGCTTTTAATCGAGCAGAGTGCAGAATAATGATTAATGAAAAAAAACTGAGGAACAGAGAGAACAGGGAGAGAAACTGGGGAGCGAGAGAGCAGCAGAGGAAGATGTAAAATGGCAAGGGGACCGAGGGGCGAGGAGCGGGGGGTGAGGATTGGGGGGCGAGGAGCGGGGGACGAGGGGCGAAAAGTGGAGAGAAAGAGCAACAACAAGCCCGAAAGCAGATAGCTTGCAATCCCCTCAACTACGCCCTCCCCCTCCCACCCGCCTCGCCCCATCCCGCCCGCCTCGTCCCATCCCACCCGCCTCGCCCCATCCCGCCCGCCTCGCCCCATCCCGCCCGCCTCGCCCCATCCCGCCCGCCTCGTCCCGTCCCACCCGCCTCGGCCCATCCCACCCGCTCCACCCGCGTCACCTCATGAAATGAAGTCGATTCGCGCGCCCCTCGCCCCAGTTGCCCCCACCTCCGCCGGCTCCTCCCCCCAGCACGCGCAGCAGCTGCGCCGTGCGCACCCCCGCCGCCGTGCTGCCATGCTCCGGCCTGCGGGCATCGCGGCGGGGTAAGGGGCAGGGGCGAAGGGAGCGAGGAAGAGACGGGAACGGGAGGGGAGACACGCTCGAAGGCGGGGAGGAGTCAAGGGAAAGGAAAAAGAAACGGAAAGGCGACAATGAAACCAGCGTGGCGAGATCAGGGGAAAGGAGGGGTAAGGCGGTGAGGAGGTGAGAGGGGAGAGCTTGAGCGGAAGGGAACGGCGGGAGGAAACCTGGCGAAGGTGAGCGAAGAGAGATTGGTAACATCAATCTCAGCGTAATGTTTTCCGAAAATAATCTGCGTTCGAATCACGGAGCTCTACACCCACGACAGGCTCACCAGACCTTGCCGATGAAAAGAATTGATTCCGACTGCAGCGCCGGCGCCGGCGGCGGCGGCGGCGGCGACAGCGACGGAAGCTCTCGTGTTCCGCCACGACCCAGCGGGGTATCTCTCGCTGTCTCGAGCTCTGGTGGGTTCGAGTCGGCAGAACCCGACTCGAGAGTGCTGCGCGTCGCTACGCCGCGGCAACCGCGTTTGAAAAAAAAAACCACCGTCGGCGCCACCGCCATATCTCCTTGTAATGGGGTACTCACATACGCCCCGCCGAGCATCGGCAAGCTTGGCTTCACACAGCGCCGCGGCTGCGCAGCACGTATGAGATGCCACGCCGTGAAATGCGGCGACGCGTAGCAGTGACGCCATCGATCAGGAACATCGATAACTCATGGCAATGCGATCGCAGTGTCGGTTCCTCTTGCGAAGAAAAAGGAGTGGCGATCGGCAGGCTATGGCGGACGGTTCTAGTGAAGGGACTTGAGCAACACCCAGGGAATCCGCCTAGGGTTTCTAGCAACCTCCCCTGCTTGTGTTGCTGGGTGGTAGGTGGTGATGCGATTGACCCACCGAACGGCGATACTTCCGCCAAACCTCAACGCGTGTCATGTGGATTCACTACATTACGGTGAAGTGCGATTTTGTGTTTTTCAGAACGGCTCGTATACACGTCTTTAAGTTTGGGTAGGGTTTCGAGGATACCGATTCAATATCATACACCCCAAGAAGAGCATTTATCTCAATATACTGTGGTTGTTGAGTTAGTTCCAAAATCACAAATCACAATTTAACACATTGCACTGAATTTTAAATATCACAAATCAACACTATTTAACAAATCACAAATCAACACACAATACAAGTTAGCATCATTTTTCTCCAAGTATTTGGGATGAAAGCTGGGCAGCATGGCATTGGCAAACTCCAGTGCAACCTCAGGAGCTTGGCCAGAATGGCCCCTGTGAACTTGGGCAGTGTATGTGGGGATGACAGCACCGGGGGGATGTTAGAAACTGAATGTATAAGCTGTGTTGGATATATCCCACTCGAAAGCATGGCCGTATCTGGAAAACTGTAAGTCTCATCATGTTCAGTGCCGCCACCAGGCATGTCCATCTTCCAGCCCTCCTCCACTTTCAGATCAGCTGTTTCTCCAAACCCAAGCAGACTGCTCGCAGAAGGAACATTCGAGTCGAGTCCGGGGGCGGGGGGAAACGAGGCTTCCCAGGAAGCAGAACCACCTCCCATCGTATCACCCAGATTGAAACAGGGACCAACCGCTGGCTTCATGAGGGTTGGCGAGGCAATCATATGAGGCTGCACATGCGGCAGGGCAGGAGGGGGCATGGGATCCGGCATTTGTGGGGCCCTTGGGTGTGAGAGGGTGTCATGTGAATGCTGCGGGTTGCTACTTGCCATGCCTGGCAGCACAGGCGCTTGGGGCAATGGCCGCATCAGTGGCTGTGGCAACGGCGGGTGGCGGTGGCTGGTGTGATGATAACGAGGGAACAAATGTAAGCTGTAGACACTGGCGATGACCGCTCAGGTGCTGCTGCTGGTGACCGCTCAGGTGCTGTTTGTTGCGGGTGTTTCCCTGCTCCACCGCACACTCTGGCAGAGCCACCTCACCACGTGGGGGTGCCGGTCTCTCAGCTACCAGCGGCGCGGTGGAGGCAGGCTCAGCGAGGCACAGTTCGGAGACAGGCGCGTCGAGAAAGAGGCTCTCGCTCCTGCCATAGTGCACATCGCTATCGTTGTGCACTGGGCTGTCGTGGTTACTGCTGTCGTGCACATGCATGTCGATCTTGCTGTCGTGCAAGTCACCGTTGCCCTGCACATTGACATGGCTGCACGAGTCAACGGACTGGGCCAGCTGCTGCGCAGCAGTGCGGGCGTCAGCAGAGGGCGCGTCTCCAAAGCAAGAAGCCAACTCCTCACAGCAGGGGGTGAAATCGCCACTGCAGGGAAGGGAGCCAGGCAGAGCAGCGAGCTGGGTGGGCATTGGCGCGGGCAGCGCTTCGTGTAGCTGCGTGGGCGCAGGAGCAGACAGAGCTGCACGTTGCATGAAGACAGGTTCGTCGCTGCTGCACCCCAGCAGCACGTCGTCTGGAAGAACACTCTCCGAACCAACGCGCGGCCATTTCACCCGCTGCACTGCGCTGCTCTCCCCTTCCTGCTGGCGACGCTCCTCCGGCAGCAGACGGGCAAACCAGGCTCTCTGCGACCCCACGGCAGGCCACAGGGCTCGCTGCTGCCAGCGCCTCTCGCCATGCAGGTGAAGCAGCTCCCGCAAGGACTGAGGCCGTTGTGCCACGCGACGAGGCAGGCGGAGCTCATCTCGTGAAGCATTCGACAGGAGAGGTTGGTCGGTCGTAAGAGCGCTCAACTCCTGCCGTGCTCTCTTCATGGGCAGGCTGAGCGATGCTGCTCTGGCATACGTCGGTGTGTTGGTCGGCACAGCATCATTAGGGAGAGCAGCGGCATTGGGAACAGCAATGACATTTGGGAGAGCAGCAACTTTGGGGGGAGAAGTGGCAGCGGAGAAAGACGGCAAGGAGAAGGGAGAACTGGCAGCAGCAGCAGCAGCAGTGAGGAGGGCAGTGTGGGGGGCGGTGGGAGGGATCCAGAGAGATGGCAAATAAGGGTCGCTTGAGCTGCGGGCGTTGGGTGAAAGGAACACGCTCCTGCATTCTTCATACGACAAACCACCGAAAGAAAGAGCAGGCGATTGCGACTCGGGTGAAACTGTGCCGTCCTGGCGCTGCTGCTGCTGCTGATTCTCTTGGAAGTGACTGTGGCCGTCCATAGCAATAACAAGTGTGCGTCTCAGGTGCTTCTTCAGGAGGTTCTGTTGAAAGCGTTGAACGAACTTCCTGCCATCAAGACACGGTCCCAATAGAGGATTTCAGAAACCAAATCGTTTGGTAATCTTTAATTGCTGGAGTTTGAACAAAACGTTGGGGTTCGGGTTACCTTTTGAGGAAGATGTAACGGTTACAGCACGACTTGTTGCTCCTCTTGAGCTGACCGCTTCGTTCCAGCTCGCCCCACTGCTTCGTGCCGCAATGCAGCGCATGTTGCAACAGAACGGCGTCCTCCTGCCATCATGACGAGCCAAGACGCGGAGGCACGCACGGATAAGCACGAATGCCACTAACAGAAAGAGACTGAAGCTGACTGAGCAGGTTCTTGCACCTGGTGCAAGAACCAGGGGTTCTCACTATGAGGCTCCGAGCCTAGTGAAACACTACGCAACCAGGACCAAACCTGGTCAGGCTCATTTCAGATGGTCTTGCTACCGAGGTCTCCGTGAGACGAGAGGGGGGCGCGGTTTCAGATGCGTACTATTTTAAGAGTTAGTGGGTGCTAGAGAAGGGACCACTACAGACAGGGGGGGGAGGGTGAGGCGAGGCGCTCACCCCGGGGGACCAGGGCTTCATGGCGAGCGACGACGATTGCGACGGCGGCGAACTGGCCGCCGTTTCCGGCGAGGAATGCGGCATGGCGACTCCAGCTACCGAAGTGCAAGAGAATGTCTACTAAGAGCAGGCGCGCGGCCGAGCTTAAAATTTGAAGGTCTCTAGAAGTAGGGTTTCACGAATCGCTTATTATCGCTGGCAGCTATGGTATGGCCTTTCGCATTCTCTTGAATCCGTCTTTATGGTTTTGGCGGCCTGTAATGGTCCCAGCCACTGGTGGTGTCGGCGGCTCGATGTGTCCTTGATCGGTTTCGATTGACTGCGATGATGCTCAGCTGAGGAATGCGGCGCTTCTGGTAGAGCAGCGCAACGCACCCATTTGCGACTCTCAACCGCCCACCCAGGCGCGAGCCGTAGCACGAGCAACATGTTTTGAACGAGGAAGGATGGGTGGCAAAGATGGGTGGCTAAGCAGGTGTCAAGACAAGAGCAGAAAGAGGTTTCGAGAGATAAGCGCCAGGACGAATGCTGTATGATTGTCTGCCATCATCACTGCTCCGATGGGAATCCTGCAAGGTGCGAACGAACTCCCGTGGTCCTTGCGGAGCACAGCACGTGACGTCAACCTTCTTCGCCTTGCAGTGTGGGTTCCGCCACACATGTACACTAAGCTCCACTGGCAGCTGGCCGGGTCAAACCTTCATATTCCCATAAGCCCGGTCTCTCAAATGACGTCGGACTAAAGCAATGAGATGAGAGTGCGGACTGGGTTCTGCCTCACGCGCTGCAGAAGACATGATGAGTCAGGGTGCGTTTGATTTTTTTTCGAACTTCCCAGTGTTCGAACTTTTAGAAAGGTTCTACACGGTAGGATACAACTAGGAGATTTTTCGCTACGGTGCAAAGCGGTTTGAGTTTAAACTTTGACAGAATTCAAAGATCACACGCGCCCTTATTTAATGCTCCACAACCGCTAAGGGCGCGTGTGATCTTTTCCTTAGTTCGGAAAAAAGGTCACTTTGGGTGGTTACCTGTTTCGCGAATGTCGACAAAATCTTTTGGCGAAGGCATCAAAGTTTTGGGAGAACAGTGAGAATATGAAATGTGAACTTGTCTCGAGTCGGATTTGTGAACGTGCGTGTACACGTTGAAGCGAGCGTGTGTTATTCCAGCACGTACGAAGGCCAGGCGAAACATGCGATTGCATCGTGAAGCTGGATATGACACAACGAAAGCAATTGTAGAGAGGGTCCGGCCTAGCTCACCACGTGGCAGGATCCGTGCCACGAAGGCGAGGCCGTAACAATGTGACTCAGGTGCATCGAGGGAAAACATCATATTGGGGCCGAAAAGTGCCAGAGGGGTAACCAACCAGGGGCCGAGAGGCCCGGAACTAACCATACCGCTGCACGAGGAGGGATGAACAAAGCGTCATCTCTTATTACATGTATTTCTTGTATAGGATCGTATTTTTGCTCGCACCCACCCTATCCGGAAATCCTAGGGCAACTAAAACCCCTAGGATCCCTCTATGCATTTTCGGAATGGATCAACCACCTTGGTGTTTAGGGTTGATGCCTCACGAGTCGCACCCGTTTCCGAAAAGGGTTATATATATATTTTTCTAAACGTTTCCGATCAGGTAGGTGATATGTATCATATATAATGTCATAAGTTTTTTTTACTCACGATTTTATACGCTGAATCTTACTTCTATAAGAATTTGACGTGCTCGTTGTAACACACAACGGTCAGACTCCTTTAAAAAACATTTGAGCAAGAAATTCAGTTCTTGTAGCAATTACCTTTTACTCACGTTTCGGCTTGTTTGCCTAGTCGTTTGGGAAGCTTCGGGTTTAAATCATATGTCGAGAATTAGCGGTCTTATTTTGGTCATCCCTCTGCTACTATTCGGCCCCAATCTGATCATTTCCCGTGCATCGATGCCGCACAAAATCGCTCGTCAACACCCAACACACATCTCCCACTAAAAAAATTCCCGCGAAGAACACATTGTACTTGGTAACCTACAATCCCTACACTCGGCTTGTCACCTTGCTTATAAGGTCGAAATTCAGTGTTCGGCCTTGCGCGTTTGATTGTTACCCAAGTGAGTTAGCGACCCGCGGTTCGAACGCTACATTCGACCTAAAAATTGTAAGAGGGTGTCTCAAATCCCTCGGCCCACCCTGGCTCCATGCGGTCGATGGGGAGCAGTCCACCAAACCACTTCGGACCCGAACGCGGACCCGCTCCCTGAGCGAATGTGGACCGTGGGTGTAGCAAACCAGCACCCTCGTTTTAGCGGGCGAAAGTGACTATAATGGGGAGGATCCCCTGGTTCAGCGAGCCGGTCCACTTCGGACCTCTGAACAGTCATAGTTTTGGCGAACAGTCACGAACTCACCTCGCTCCGTCGCAAAACTTGGCAGCAAGCGCAAATGTACAGCTACGCTCGCCAACACGCTACTGTAGATTGCATCTGCGGACCCAACAACAATGAGTTCGAAGCTGGTTCACTCGGTTGGTCCACACTGGTCCGTCGGACCAGTCCAGGGTGTTTCTGGAGGCATAATTTCAGTGGCGGACCAGTCCGGTGCGGACTCGCGGACCTGTCGAAGTGAGACACGTCCTAAACTTAGCGAATTTCAAAGACGTGACGCGCCCTGACTATACACCAAAGAGAAGGAATAGTGAGGCCGTCTGGCAGAATGGTACCAACCGTACTGTATCTCGGGTCAGGCTGTGCACAGCGCGTTCGTTTACAGTTCAAGGGCATTGCGAACGGTGCCAGCGATACACCGCATCGTGACTAAACAAGAGTACACGCGCAGAAGGAAGGAGGCATTTTCCCCCAAACCAAACACAAAAATGCTTCCAAGGCAAAGCATCCCCAAGCCAAGCTTTCAACTACAGTAGAAACCGTTGATCTTTTCTTCCGGCCAAGGGGGGCACCACCGAACCCTGACCAAGCTGGATTTTGATGAGGTCGGCTCGTCCAGCCAGCCAATCGTTCGCACCGCTGCCTTGACCTTGAAGGCAAGTCATCATGACAAACAATTGCGTCACACGTGATATATACGGTTGCTGTGCGGAATGTTGATCTCTGCCCCAGGCGGGGGCGCACGTAAGCGCCAGCCAGAGCAACAGTTTCAGTTCTGAAGACCCGTTACAGTATGCCTTAGGGCGTGAACTGTTTTCTTTCAACCACCCTTTGTTCGTTTCGGATAATGAGATGGGCACCCAGAGACATCGAGGCTATTATTTTGCAGCCAGAAGCATTTCTGTCTAAAGAAACTCACACTTAGTGCTCGGAGATGGAGGGCGGATCGGCTTTGACAAACTTTTACAGCCGTTGTCTAGCGAATGGAATGCTAGATTCTATACCCATTTCTTCTCAAACTACTCGTATAAACAAGTTTGACCAAGGAGAAGTACTCTCGCGAAGCGTGGTTAAGATACCGTCATACCCCGGATATAAGCGCCACCCGCGGATAAGCGCCTGGCGCTTTTAATCGGCGCCCGGCGCTTATATCCGGTGCTCGATTATAAGCGCATACCTAAAAGGCTTACAGATTATAACCGCATACCTGTGCTGTACACATTATAACCGCCCCCCTTTGTTTTTAGTGTTTTTATATATAACAATATTAAATCTACATCTAAACATCTTTTTAACACTATTTAAACAAATCTACCTACATCTAAACATTTTTTTTACACTATTTTAACATCTAATAGTCAATTTACATCTCATGTACTTCTACCTACAAGCCTCACATAGGCTTGACCATTTTCTATCTACCCTCGCAGATCATCTGCCGTAGTGGGGTCATCTGGGTCGGCGTCAGAGTCCGACTCAGGCTCTTCCACGTTGTTGCAGAAGAAGCCGTCTGCTGCAATTTCATCATCCATGTCGACCTCCTCGCCCTCGAGCTCATCTCGCCTGTGTTGCAGGCAGAGCTTGTCCTGGGACCCATCCAGGGCGTTGCTGATGCCGCAGGTGAGGAACGCCCGTTGGATGAGCTCCTTGGGCACGGACTTCCAGGCCGCCGAGATCCACTTGAGCGTCAGCTCGACAGGAGGCTTCTTGATGTTGCCTGCCACGCAAATCCAGAAACAAAGTTAGAGGGAGTTAAATAAAGGAAACACAAACTTACAGGCTGCACATCTCACCTTTCTTCGTCAGGCTGTCGACCCCCTCACGCTCAAACCACTCCTGGTAGAGCTGGCGGACGGCGGCCTTGAAGGAGCGGTTAACCGCGACGTCGAGGGGTTGAACCTCCGAGGTGCAGCCAGCAGGGATGACCGCAGGGACCACGTTGAGCTCGCCAAACTTTTTCTTCACCTCCGGGGTTAGGTGCCCGCGGTACGAATCGAGGACGAGCAGAACCTTCTTGGGGCGGACTCCGAACTTGGGGTTGATGTACGGCTTCACCGCCCCGTCAAGCCACTCGATGACCCCGTCCGCGTCCATCCACCCGTTGGGATGGACCCCCACGTGGATATCTGCACACCAAAACCACCATGTTAGAGAAAATTTATAAACACACATGCCACGGCGCAATCGACGTGTGGTGCATACCTGAAGGGAAGTCTCCTTTCGGGACGGTCTTCCTTTTGAAGAAGACCCACGGCTTCAGTTTTTCCCCGCTGGCGGTGCAGGCGAGCATGACTGTGACCCGCTCCTTCTGGTAGCCGCCGCTGCGGACGGGGATGGAGCGCGCGCCAACCTCTTCAACGGTGCGTTCGGATGGCATCTCGAGCCAGAGTGGCGTCTGGTCCGCGTTTAGAATCCACGGCAGCTCGATTCGGTACTGGCGGCGGGAGTGACGCACGAACGCCCAGAAGTTCCTCACTTCATCCTCGCAGTCTGGGACACGGGATGGGAGGAACAGAAAGCACAAACACAGAGTAAGAATCGTGTATCGAGAGCACATTGACACATGAACACGGCCATGAAACTCACTTGCCGAGAGCTTCTGGCCGACCCGGGTCTTCGCTCTGGTCGTCAGGTTCCAGCGGCGGCGAAATCGCTGAGTCCACCGCTGAGAGCCGGCCCACTTTTCACCTGGGTGTAGCTCCTTCATCACCTCGTGCGACCACTTTTGAAGTCGTGCGATGGAGACGGCGAGGCACTTTTTGCGGTGGGCGAGAAACCGACGGTACACCTCCGCTTCCATGTCGCGATACCACGAGCTCCTTCCGCGGCCGTGCAGGCGACATCGTGCACCGTGCGCGCCCTCAAGCTCAGCCTTGCGGTTCTTCCACTCCGTGAGGCACCTTCGGGAGATGCCGGATACGCGAGACATGCGCCGCACACTCATGTCGCCGGCTTCGAGCTTCAGAATCCATTGCAGCTTCTCCTGCGACGTGTATTTGTTGCGCTTGTGAGTTGACGGCTTGTGCCTGGGGGAGGGAGGACGGGCATCACGATTATCGCGAGATGGGTGAGGCCTTTTCTTATTCGGAGGAGGAAAAGAGGGAATTGGAAGGTGCTCGGGGAGACCGTCAGCAGCCCAGAACTCCACGTCGTCGTCGGCACCGGTAGCGGATTCGTCCAACGGGCAATCAGCCGGGGCTCCCCACCGTGGCTCCGGTGCGGAGGAAGATCCTTCGCCGCCGCTGCGGTCAGGCTCGGACAGGAAGGCGTCGAACGCCGAGTAGCCAGGGGGGAGGAGAAGCTGCAGAACCCCCTGTCGCGGAACACCAACAGCAGGCGGGTCAGGAGGGGACGGAGGAACGGGAGGAATCGGAGGCGCCGGGGGAGCGGGAGGGGTAGGAGGCGTAGGAGGTGTTGGAGGAATGGGAGGCGCTACTGGTTGTGACTGAGGGACGGGCGCAGGGCGCCTCTGCCATTGAGACCAGTCACTGGTGTCTTGGCGGGTTCTTTCTCTAGCAGCAGGCTGGCGGCGGAACAAGAAATGCGTGCCTGAAAGGCCCGCCATGGCCAAGGCAGGCCAAACGAACGAAAGAAACTGAACCAAACGTTGACAATGAGGGCCGTATGAAGCCCTCGCCCGAGACCCCTTCAGTTTCGCGGCCCGGCTTCCTCTGCGGGGAAAGTGTGGCCACAGCCAAGATTCCCCGCAGAGGAGCTGAGCTGGGCAGCTCTTTGCCTCGGTGGCAGGGTATCTTGCTGTTGATGGGCACGCCGTGGCTGAACCACGACGTGCCCACGATCGCATGCAACCCTGATTGGGCCGCTGTGATGCGAGGTACGTGTGCGCAGGCATGCGCTAGGTTCACGTTCGATGAACCTGGCCTGGCCAACAAGGCGTGGAAGGCGTGTTGCCACGCCTTGTTGGCCGTTTCACGCGCATAGCATGCACAGTTCCGAACGTTCTCGACTCAGGTGAATTCGCCTTTGTGAATGCTTCGATTTGGTATATTTAAAAACAAATTTCATTTTTGTCATAACATAAACGCCGGCGCTTATAAATTTACTATATTATAAGCCCACCCCCTAAAAAAAACACGTTTTATTAGTGCCCCCCATGGGGGTATATCCGGGGTATGACGGTAGCAGCGGTGAAAATACCGCAGACTAGGCGTACAAATCCAATCACTACCCTCGTAGTCTTGCAAACGAGGCTTCCCAAGTCTAACGCTAAATAGCACAATAATATGATATATATCTTTCCCTCCAGCTTCTGTTCTGACAGAACACCCCTGCTTCAGACCTCAAGTTGAATGTGCTTCCTTTAAAGCTGAAGTCCTCCATCAACACGAGTGTCTCACAACCTTTCCACATGACCTCTCACAGCCTTGCCACATGTCCGTCCACCCAAGCCCCCTCGTTATTGACATATTGGAACCAGCATCTACAAGCTGCTGGGCAGAGGAAGCCGCATGGGGAAGTGGGAAACGGGCAAGGGAATAGGGATTTCCAGGTTGGAAGGAAGCATAGCTCAGCACCACCAGTCACACAGACGACTGCCATGCAGATATGCGGGTCACACAGATGACTGCCATGCAGATGCGGGTCACACAGATGACTGCCATGCAGATGCGGGTCACACAGATGACTGCCATGCAGATGCGGGTCACACAGATGACTGCCAGGTGGCATGAGGGAGGTGAGAGGGCGGTCAAGCTGGGGTTGGGAACGGAGAGGGATGGAAGCCAAGAGTGAGGAGAGGGCGTGGCGTGGAGGATGCGAGAACAATCCATTCCTCATATGGTGGTGATGCATCTGGAACCCGGTCCTGCCCCCATTAGCTCCTCCCCCCACCCACCCCAAGGCGACTCTAATCCACGACGCTTTCAACCACGGCCCCTCCACCCACCCTAAACCCGAAACCTTTCCTTGCCCACCCAATGCGAGCCTGCAAAACACGCCCATTACCATTCCCTGGCAGCAGCACCCCACATCCCACTCCACCCCACTTGAGTGCGCTGTGCTGTGCCATGCTCACCCGCTACCGACAGCAGCAGCTGGCCTCGCAGCGCCCACCCCAGACTCGAAGCCTTTTCCCTGCAGCCCTGCGCCAGTCCTTCCCACACCAATGCTGCCCCCCCCTTCCTTCCTCCTCCCCCCTCCCACCTCCCCCCTCCCCTGCCTTTACATGTCAATCCAACCAGCCTATCTCGCCCCCTTCTCACCCAATCCACCCCGTGAGTAACGCCATTCCTCCCCACGCTACGCCTCACATCCACGACTCATCGAGTGCAGCCAGGTGGTTACCACTCGGCTGCTGACCGCTGCTGTCCTACCCCCCACCCTCTTCTGGATGCTCCCGGCCCCTCCTGCAGCAATGCCACTTCTCCCGCCGCTGCTTCTCCCCCAGTCTCTCTGCCCGCAGCAGCTGTACCGTTCGCATCCCCTCTCCCGTGCTGCCGTGCTTTGGCCTGACGAGGGGGAAGGGGGAGACACGGATGGGGGAGCAGGGTGAGGGGAGATCCGGGAAGGGGAGGACAGGGAGGTATCACATTTGAGAACCCTCTGAAGTGGAAAATAACAGCGAGGGGGAACAGGGAGGTGAAAAACAGGGATGGGGGACTAGCAGAGGAGAGACGAAGGGATACAAAGGAAAGACAGGCCAAGGGACGTCTAGCAGAGGAGAGACGAAAGGAAAGACAGGCCAAGGTAGGTGTCTGCCGCGGGGGAGGAGCGGACAAAGTGGGTGGAGGAGGGGAGACGGTGGGCGGGGAAAGGCAGGCGGGGATAGAGCGACGCTCATGGATGCCGTCTCTTCCTCCCGCGCGACTGCTCACCATCCTCTCAGGTGCCCCTGCACACATTCACACCTCTACGCGTCGCTCATCCCCCCACGCGCCGCTCATCCCCCCCATACGACGCTCATCCCCCCCATACGACGCTCATGCCCCCCATGCGACGCTCATCCCCCCCATGCGACGCTCATCCCCCCCACGCGTCGCTCATCCCGCGTGGCTGGCTCCTAACCTTCCGACCGCACACCGACCCAGCCAGGCATACCAGAATCGCATCGGAGTCGAGATTGATGGAAACGTTCGCGAAAATTGTCATCACCCATGCGACGCATTCATTGCGACACGAGCGGTTCAAGTTTGACACCTGCTACTCGGGAGAGCTGAAGCGAGCCTGGTGCAGCCAGTGCCGTTATGTGATTGTGCCGGGATTATCGGGTCGTGTCTGATTCGACACATGCGACTCGGAGGATCTGCGACGAGGCTGCTGCGCGCAGCGAAGATCACGTGGGTGTGAAGGTCATGTGGGTCACGTGGGTCACGTGGCCTGGATGTGAAAGTCAGGTGCGTGAGAAGAACGCCGGATCGTAACGGTCGTCGTCATTGTGCGGTTCTTCGTAGCGCGACGAGTATTGGGCCCAGAGCAATGATGCAGAGCGAGCGAGAACCGATGCCGCGAAAAGCGGAGCTGCGAACAGTGGCGCCAAGAGTAAGAAGTAGCATTAGATCAGAGAGAGCGGTGAACAAGCTGCGGTGTCGTCTGCTTCACGCGTCGGAGGCACCGTGAGTACGCGATCGCCGTACGCTGGATGATCGAGCCGCAAGAGCCTGACGGACAGGGCGCGAATGCTGGAATGTTTGTGCCTGCTGGGTTGTGGCGAGGCGATCCTACTACTAGGTTTCTTATGCTGCCACTTCGTCCTCACTTTATCACAGGGCAGGGAGGTGGTGATGTACGCGTCAGCCTGGGGAACTACATGGAAGGAAGGTGACTGTAACGCGGATATGAGTGCGTGGAGGGGGATTTCAAGCGAACTTTACAGAAACAAAAAGAATAGGCACAAACTATACAATCTGTATACAAACTGAACTTCTCAACCTAGTGTAAGCAAGGCAACATAACTTTCGCTAAGCTCAGCACAATCTCAGCTGGGTCAGAATGGTACCCGCATCTTTCGGCATGTGTATTGTTGGGATGAAGGCTCGAGGCAGAGGAAGAATAGCCGTATGTGAAGTCAAAGGTTCCGTGCGCAGCTTTCTTATAGTCAGTCATAGCCCCATACCCGTTAGTAGTATATGCGAAGTCAGTTGTTCCTGAACAGTTTTAATCAAGCCACGCACATCCAAGCTGAGCACATGACCAGTAATGCGATTCATAGCAGCGCCATCACATCGCAGAGCGACGGCCGTGTCGGGCCACTGAGGCAGCATGGGGTTGGCAGAGAGATGGTAAAGCACCAGGGGAGAAGGGCTGCTGCAGCATGGCAGGGCGTGGCTGTATGGGAGCTCGCATGTGCAAGCCCCTTGGGTTGGAGGGCGTGTGCAGTGCACTGGTGGTGCCAGGGGCAAGTGGAAGTTGACGAGGGGCTGACAGCAAAGGCGTCTGTGGCAGTGCCTTTGGGATTGGCTGTGGGAGTGGCTTGTGCGGTGGCAGCGAGAGAATGCGCTCAAGCTCTAGGCACTGTGCAAGCATGGCCTCCTGGGTGAAAAAGTGCTGCTGCCTGTGCAGCTGAGAACCTGCCTCCCCGTCCCCTCCCTGCTCCACCACCCATTCTAGCACGGCTGTGCCAGCAGTACCAGGGGCTGCCAGCACCTGTTGTTGAGGCTCACTGGGCAAGGGCATGGTGAGGGCACTCCCAGTCAGCTTTTGAGTCGACTCAAAAGGCATGGTGAGGGCACTCCCAGTCAGCAGCATGTGAGCCACGGGCATGTCCAGAAAGAGAGCCTCGTCGCTGGTGTTAGAATTGCTACCGGTGCTGCTTCCGTCAATGCCTGCATCCACGTATTCCTGCTCCTGTGTGGCCCATCTACTCCCAGCAAGCACCGCTGCCATGCAGCTGCTCGTGCTGCCGGGAGCAGAGGCACACAGAGCAGCAGCTTGGGAGGGCAGGGGAGACGGCAGCGGTGCGAGTGGCTGGGTAGGCGGAGGAACAGAGAGAGCAGCACGTTGTGCGGAGGCAGGGTCCTCGCAGCAGAATCCCAGCAGCACATCGTCTGGAAGGGCACTCTCTGACCCAACGCGCGGCCAGTCCACCCGCTGCAGTGTGCAACTATCCCCAATGCAGGGAGCGGAGCCAGACAGAGCAGCGAGTTTGGGGGGCATTGCTGTTGGCGGCGCTGCGAGTGGCTGGGTTGGCAGAGGAGCACAGAAAGCAGTGCCTTCCGTGAAAGCAGGGTCCTCGCAGCAGAGTCCCAGCAGCACGCCGTCTGGAAAGGCACTCTCCGGCCCAACAGGGGGCCAGACTAGCCGCTGCACCGCGAAATCCTCAATGCAGGGAGCAAAAACCCCACACCAGGGGGTGGAATGACCAGTGCGGGGAGCGGAGCCGGGCAGAACAGCGAGTTGGGGGGGCATTGGCGATGGCAGAGGTTTGGCCGGCTGGGTGGGCGGAGGAGCCGACAGAGCGGCGAGTTGCGTGAAGGCAGGGACCTCATTGTTAAATTTCAGCAGCACGTCGTCTGGAAGGGCACTCTCCGACCCAACGTGGGGCCACAGCACCCGCTGCACTCTGCTGCCCACTGCTCCCTGCTGCTGCTGGCGATTCTCCTCCTGCAGCAGCAGAGCCTCCAGCAGGGCTTCCTCCTCTGTCTCCTGTCCGCGATCGCTCTCCCCCTGCTGCTGGAACTGCTCTGCCACTGACTGACGCCGGCGCTCCGTGCCACACACCACCCCGCCTCGCACGACCCAGCTCCCGCTTCCCCCAAGCACCGGTTGGTCTGCCGTCAGGCGGGGGCAGTCGTCCCGTGGTCGCTTCACTGGGCGACGCAAACCAGCGGCGCTGGAGGCAGCAGCAACGGGGACGGCATCACGGGCGAATGGGAACTCCGTGGTAGACGCGGCAGCCGCAGAGAAGGGGGAGGCTTCATCACAAAAATGCGTGTGTCTTAAAATCATCTGACATTTCGACGGTCGATCGTACGTTTGACGATCGTTTGAAAAACGTACAGGGAAACTCTGAAAAACGTTTGTCTTCAGCGATATGTTTTCCAGGCACATTCTGAATGTTTGCTCCTAACTGTTTCTTGCCTACGCGCAGGATTAGGGTTCCGGGTTCTAACAGATACCTAGATTCGAGCATGACTCTTCGCGTGGGAGCAGATAGCGAGAAATTTGTTCTCCGGAAGAATCCCTTGTTTAGACTTTTGTGTATTGGTTACATACATGACATTTGAACTTATGTTGTTTATGAATTTGATGTAACTTTCTCTATTATTAATAGTGTTTCCAATAGTCATGTTTTTTTATCTGGTGAAGGAAATTTCACACCTATTAGATTCTAAAGGCCTAAGTAAATCTACAGTCAAGGGACAATTTAATGTTTACAAAAGTCACAATGCGTCAAAGTTGTCTACGTTTGCTAGACCTCACCAAACGAATCTATTAAGAAGGCTCACTTCATCGTCCTCACAAGAAGGAACGATGTGCACGAGACTAAGAATGCAGTCGACATCAATCACTGCATAATCATCTATGCCCTCTGTGGGTAGAAGGCGCTTGCATCCCGTTGACGGGCACAGTCTCTTGTCCTCGGTGTAATACTCCACGTATGCTCCGTGCCTCAGCTCGCCATCTTTGTTGTAGTGAAACAGGACAAGACAACGGCCGTACCAGGGGGATCCCTTCCCTGAAGGGTTGATTGCAACAGATGAGAAGTTCTTCTCGCCCGGGCTAGCCTTGACAAACTGCCCCCTTGACGTCCATTCCATCTTGTCGTGGGGCGGAATTGCAAGTGCCGTGTGCACCTGAAACCACGAGCATGAATCAAGAAAATGGGAAAGCATCGAATGAGGCGGTGGAGAGCATAACGATATAGGGGGGAATTGACCAAGGGCTGGAGTGGGTGGAAAACATGCAGGAGAGGGGAAAGCGGGGCTGGAGTGGGTGGAAAGCATGCAGGAGAGGGGGAAGCGGGGCTGGAGTGGGTGGAAAGCATGCAGGAGAGGGGGAAGCGGGGCTGGAGTGGGTGGAAAGCATGCAGGAGAGGGGGAAGCGAGGCTGGAGTGGGTGGAAAGCATGCAGGAGAGGGGGAAGCGGGGCTGGAGTGGGTGGAAAGCATGCAGGAGAGGGGGAAGCGGGGCTGGAGTGGGTGGAAAGCATGCAGGTGAGGGGGAAGTGGGGCTGGAGTGGGTGGAAAGCATGCAGGAGAGGGGAAAGCGGGGCTGGAGTGGGTGGAAAGCATGCAGGAGAGGGGGAAGCGGGGCTGGAGTGGGTGGAAAGCATGCAGGAGAGGGGGAAGCGGGGCTGGAGTGGGTGGAAAGCATGCAGGAGAGGGGGAAGCGGGGCTGGAGTGGGTGGAAAGCATGCAGGAGAGGGGGAAGCGGGGTTGGAGTGGGTGGAAAGCATGCAGGAGAGGGGGAAGCGGGGCTGGTGTGGGTGGAAAACATGCAGGAGAGGGGGGAAGCGGGGCTGGAGTGGGTGGAAAGCATGCAGGATAGGGGGAAGCGGGGCTGGAGTGGGTGGAAAGCATGCAGGAGAGGGGGAAGCGGGGCTGGAGTGGGTGGAAAGCATGCAGGTGAGGGGGAAGCGGGGCTGGAGTGGGTGGATTCGGCGGCACTGAGACAGAAAAGTCATGTCTTATACGACCAGGAATGCACCTGCAAGACTTGCGTGTTGATGCCTGCCCGTTTGAGGCGCACAACCATCGCACTCATGGCGGGTTCGCCAACAGTCAAGACATAACTCCGAAACACTGAGTCGGTGATGTCCCCCAGTACCATCTTCTTGTGGGTCTTAGTAAGCACCCTCCGGCCCTTCAGGCATGCCTGTCACCGTGGAGAGGAGAGGGTTGGTATAGGGAGGGGGAGGGTTGAATGGTGAGTGCTTCTGGAGGGAGGAGGAGGGGCGGGGGATAGGGGATGGAGGCGGGGTTTTAGGCGAAGGAGAGGGCCAGGGAGAGGGGGAATGGGTGTGGGGGAAAGGGTCAGAGGTTGTGGGGACGAAGAAGGGGATGGGGGGGTAGGAATCGATTACTTTGGTTAGGCTGGTCCTAAATGTGATTGCCAACTCATGCAGAGAGCAGGGAACCAGACATTGGGGCAAAGAGAATGGCTTACAGAACATGGCACAGAGCAGGGCAGACACAGAATGGAACAAAGCAGGGAACCAGTGAAGGGAACAGCGCAGGGCACAGGGCAGGGCAGACACAGAATGGAACATGGCATGGAAACAGTGCAGGGAACAGAGCTGGGAAACAGAACAGGGCGTTGAGCAGGGGTGACACAGCATGGAACATAGCAGGGTAACAGAGCAGAACACAATGAAGGGGAAATGACCGTTGGGAACAGAGCAGTGGGAGAGAGCATGAGAACCGAGCAGGGAAACAGAGAAGGGGAGAGAGCATGGGAACCGAGCAGGGAAACAGAGTTGGGGACAGAGCATGAGAAACAAGCAGGGAAACAAAGCAGGGGGAGAGAGAAAGAGATTTGAGCAGGGAAGCAGAGCAGGGGGAGAGAGCATGAGAACCGAGCAGGGAAACAGAGCAGGGGGAGAGAGCATGAGAACCGAGCAGGGAAACAGGGCAGGGGGAGAGAGTATGAGAAACTAGCAGCGAAACAGAGCAGGGTTTAGAGCAAGAGAATTGGGAAACCACAAAACAGAGCAGGGGCAGAGAGCAACAGAAGGGAGCAGGGAAACAGAGCAGGGGGAGAGAGCAAGAGAACCGAGCAGGGAAACAGAGCTGGGGGAGAGAGCATGAGAACCGAACAGGGAAACAGAGCAGGGGGAGAGAGCATGAGCAGATTTGTAAAGCTCACCTCTTTCATCGAGGTCTCGTACGTGCTGTCCCCGCCGGCCTCCCGCGCTAGTTGTCTAACTACCGCATGCTCCAGGTGTTTCCGGACAATTCGATCTTCAACATTCTTCCAGTTGGTGCCACGTGAAGGACGCTTCACAGTGGTCTTGTGAGAGTGCTCGTAGCAGTTCGACGAGTACTCGGCAGGGATTCCCCGAAGACGGATGGTTGATGGGAGGTGAACGAGGAGATGAATCTGAACAAGTTTCCACTTTGACTTCTGCTTTGGGAAAGCGACACGAAGAGCCTTCACCATCCTGGGGAGAAAATTTAGATACAACGCATGCAGTTAAGGGGGGGAAAGCAGGCCGGGAAGGGAGAAACGGGATGCGGGAGGGGGAGTGAGGAAGCAGGTGCGAAAAGAGAAACACGGAAGGAGGGATCAGGAAGGTGGGTTATGGAAGGACAGCGATGCAGTTCAGAGGGAGAAGATGTGTCATGCAAAACCTTCATGGAAGGAGTGCAGCCAAAGGTCATGGAGTACTCGTACTATGGAGCCGGGGAAATTATTGCACGGAATGGAGAAACAAGCGAGTATGAAGGTGAAGCTGGTAGGGAGCTGAGCAACAAGCTTGGTATTGTACAAACGGGATGCAATGTGCATTGTGACTGGATGAAGAGAAGGGAAAGAGGAGGAGGACATGGTGAGTTGGGAGAAATAGGGTAAGACTAGCAACAAATGAACAGAGAAGGCAGGCCTATGAAAGAGGGTGGGTGGAGCATGTAAGGTACGGGCGAGACAAGGAATCTGTGTGTACGTGGCATTGAAGGGCTTGGGAAACCACCAAACAGACGGAGCAATTACTTGATGGTGGCGTCTTTCATCCGATTCAGAGAGTCGTCGGTGTGGTACTCAGCGCGGATGAACTCCTTGTACCACTCGACCATAAGCACAATGGCCGTGCGGATATCTTCTCGTCCTGGGAGATTGATGATGAGGGGCAGGACCTGCATCATCGCCCGATGCTCTGAAGCTGAAAAGCAGGCAGTGGATGTGAAGTAGGCCCACGCCGAAGGAAGACGGAGCACGGAAGCGGGTGTGACCTCCTTCAAGATCTTGTATCGCCTGGACGTGAGTAACAGTTCAGCAGGGCGCGGAAAGCAAGCACAGAGGGGAGTCGCACGAAGCAGGGAGGGGAAAGCAGGCACGGAGGGGAGTAGCAGGAAGCAGGGAGGGGAAAGCAGGCACGGAGGGGAGTAGCATGAAGCAGGGAGGGGAAAGCAGGCACGGAGGGGAGTAGCATGAAGCAGGGAGGGGGAAGCAAGCACGGAGGGGAGTCACATGAAGCAGGGAGGGGAAAGCAAGCACGGAGGGGAGTAGCATGAAGCAGGGCGCGGAAAGGAAGCAAGGAGGGGAGTAACATCAGGAAGTAGGGCGCGGAACAACTCACTCCAGAAGAATCTTCCGTTCTTTTGGAGTCAGCTTCTTCACAAGGCACTTCATGGCATGCAGCCATATGCCCTGCTCCCAGATGTGCATGATGTCCGGGGGGACAGCGAGGTACGTGTTCCCCCAGAGAGTTTTTGCAAATTCCCAGTCCCACAAAAGGCTCTGCGTTGGGGGTCAAGGACACAGAGTCACTATGGCGGATCAGGGTGATAAACACGAACAGCAAGCTGCAGATTGGATTAGATTGCCAAGCATACAAGCCACTGCAGTGTATGGTGGATATGGAGGGAAACCAGATGTGAACCGCTACGATGCACGCAGACCAAGCGCACCTTCACGAAGTGCGTAGAAGACTTCTTCTTCACCGCCTTCAGCTTCTTTTTGGTTTTCGCGGAGTCCATCTCCTTGTAAGCGTCCTTCTGACCCTTGACAGTTCTGAGGACAATGGAGTCTTCCTGCTTCTTTTGGGTTGTCGCGGATTCCTTCTGAGCCGTGACATTTCCGACGACAGTGGTGTCCTCCTGTTCATCCAGGCGCTTCTTATCAGGAGGCTGTTGAGTCAACTCAAATGTCATCTCATCCAATCGCTCCTTTTCCACCAAGCACAACGAGCACGGATGGAGTGAGTTGCATGCCATCGTACAAGTGATCTTAGAGGACTCCGGGTGATCCGCCACCCATGAGTAAAGGAGCGTGAATGCTCTATACTGCACACCGGCACTGTCTTCCACCATCACACCGCCCCTGCACAGCCGCCAGTATGTGTGGGAAAACAGGGAGAGGGACGGGGAGGGCGAGGATGGGAGAACATGTTAGATATGTCAGAAATGGTGTGAGCATGGGTTGTTGTAACCAAGCAGACGAAGGACGGTTAGGAGGAGGGGGACAGCGAGCAGGGAGGGTTTAAACGGCAGGAGATGGTGGTATGGGAGGTACCGGAACGGTACTAGGTGAGGCGGATGGTAGCTGGCAGGAGAGTAATGACAGAATCCGTCTTGGTGGCACGCATTCGAAACAAGAACAGAGGAGAAGGGGGGTCAAAAAGGGAGGGGAGTGTGCATGAAACAGGGAATGGAAAAAAGTAGTGGTGTGGATACTGGAGAGTACAAGGGATGCGCGCCTTTGGGCGACATTAGCAGTGTCTCACCCTGAAATATGTGAAGCCGCCTTTAAATCTCGAATCATGATCTCTGCAGCGTCCTGGAACACTCGAACCTTTTTTTCTGGCGAGAGGTCAGCTGGGATATTCGGCAGGAAGCCGAGAAGCTCAGTGCCTCCTTCCAGCCACCTAGCCCATTCTGGAATATTCCCAAAGGACAACAGAAATGGGTGGGCAGATTGGCGGCCGTTGTACGATAGATTGGTCTGGTCCGAGAACAGAATGAGCGCTAAAACTATGCCAAACTTCCGCACCCTCTCCTGCCACAGTGATGATAAAGGGAAGGAAAGATGTATTGGATCCTAGGTTTCGATGCTCGTGTCCAACGCGACATGAGATGGCGTGGAACTTACCCATGCCTTGAGCATCCAATCCATGTTTGCAGGGGTACTGTAGCGGCGAACCCCATCAACCTTCCACTCTTGAGGCATGATGCTGAATCCCTTGACAGCCGACATCTTCTTGAACATGGCCTGAAGGAGCTGATGGTGATAATTATGGAAACAGTGATCGAAAACAGATGCGTAAGCACGGATGGTTCCCCTTGAACTCATGGTTTAGTCGTCATCACTAAACACATTCCACTCTGATGAACGTGACACCGCACTAGGGATACACTCACAGTTATCGCGTTTCGGCGCTTGAAGGTGAGAAACCCAACTTCGTGATCCACTTCGAGCTCCTCGACGATCCATTCGTTCTCCGCTCCAAGGTCAAAGCTGTTCTCGTACTTCTCCAGGTCCCTGTAGCTGTTCCAATCGTCCAGCTGCTTTGGATCTAATTTCGGATGTCTAACTAACTGTATCGTGTCGTTAATCGCCCCGTTGGTAAGTCCGTGAGATCGTGCCAAAATGCAGATTTCCGCCTTAACATCGAGAATTTCCTCAGTAGGAGCTACTTCCACCACGAGTGTGGTGCTACACGTATGAACCGCATCTGGAACTCGCTCTGCCGGCTGCGGGTGCTGCTCTACTGCGTTCGGAAGTGATGCTAAGGGAATTGAATGCGCTGGCGCGGGAAGGGTGGCTGTTGCTAACGGGACAAAGGTATGCTGCGCCTCAACGTCACGACACAACTTCTTTCGTTC